ACGTTCTAACCTTTTGCTGATTCGGATGGGAATCTGGTTAGAATCGGCATCAGCTTTGTCGTTCCCAGCTCGCCTCCAACGACTGGTTACCGAAGTAACTGCTTTGATTTCTAGTCTAACCTACCCACGTGGTGATTTGATCTTAGGTAGACGAAATCAATCAGTCGCCGGGCCGCAATGCAAGTCGAATCTGAACAAGGGTAATACCGCACAAGTATATGTAAAAGAAAATAAAGTAACAACTTGAAAAGTTCAAATGTGTTAAAAAAGAATAACAATATTTTATATCTGGTTTCTGAATACAGGACTGCGTCTTTTCTCCCAACCCGCTTATATGGATGCGTGGCACTTTGTGTTTTTTAGGCGAGTCTTAACATCTTAAGTCGTTTTTTCAAGAAACTGGTTTTTGGTGTATCTTCAGGCGATATTCTTAAAACTTGTTTTGGTGGTGTGAGTCTAAGTCGTTCTTCAAAAACAAATTGTTCTTGGTTAGAAGTTGAGGTCGAGAATGCGTGGATATTAAGTCAGTTTTCTGCGAGGCGGGTCTCAGAGCTCACAGCTCAACTCTGCAACTGCCTTCCTGTCTGTGACTCCAACTCAACTCTAACTGCCGTCCAATCGCTGCGACTCTGCTTATATGGACGCCGACCAAAACTGGGGTGGGCTTGTCGGTGTTTGAGTCTCCTTGATAATTCTAAATCCACAATAAGTATCTTCTTTGCTTTCGGCCAGGAACATTTATTACTTTCTATTTTTGGAAGTCCTTACTTTCTACTTTAAGGGAATCGTCCTCCCAAATTCTTCCTTTCTCATTTTGGTATCTCACACCAATCTCCTCAGAGGTCGTCAACAGGTTCCCCTCTCTCTCACAATGGGATCTCACACCAGTCCCTTCAGGGGGCGTCAAAAGGCATCCTCTCCTTCTTCATAGTTTACCTTCGCCTACCACTCACGCCACCCTTCAGTTAATGAACGCTCAGGAGCATGGGTGTTTGCAATTATCGCTCAAAGGAAAAAAAATTATATTCCCTTTTTTTTTCTTTCTTTTCTTTCTTTTCTTCATCCCGACAACAGACCCTTACGACTCTTATCTTAACCGAACGTCGTCTGGAATTCGTCAACGAGATTTTCGCCAATTATCTGTTCCGATAAAATAATTTTTCTATCATGGCCAGCTCTGATATAAAACAGGTGTTTTTTCCCAAATGATATCTCCGCAGATAGTTAATGGTTTAATCTTTCCTTCTTTGTAACTTGTCGGTGGTCCAGCGGATATTTCTCGGTCAGTGCATGACCTAATTAATATTATCTCTTAGCATTCTGTCCTGTAGGCTACTTGACCAATTTGAAATTTTCATTATTGCCATGGACAGATTGCTATCTTCTTTTTGCCGCGCCGTAACATAAATTAATTCGACAGATCCGGTATCTAACGAATCGCCTATCTTCTGCGTGAGAAAAAAGATGCTTTTTCTTTTCGCAAATGAAAATAAAATCTTTACCACTTTTCTTTGTTAGAAAAAATAACATCGCTCAGTGTCTTTTCGTGATAGCTTCTTATCACCTAATTTAATTCTCGCCTTTTTTTTCCTTTTACACTCAACCCTAAATAGTGTCACAGAAGGATACTGAGCATATCGATGACTAAACATATGATCAACTATGTCATTTTAGGGTAAATCGAAACAAGAAAAACATACTTCTCATCAGAAGGAGATCGTTGACATTTCTAGAACTCATAATGAGGAAAGAGAGCTTGAAAAACGTGATACTCACAGGACAGATTGATGGCAAGAGGCACAGCGGATAACACGGCAATATTTTTTTTTTTTTTGATTTTCAATTGACAAGAGAAAAATTATGTTCCTTTATATAAAATACGGCGAAGATTTGCACTAAAGTTTGCATAGTGTGTGTATGTGTGTTTGTGTTCGTGCGTGTGTGTGTGATTAATAGAGTATTAACTTGTATTATAAACATTTATACTTGCGATTATGTATAAGAATTTTGATTACATCTAGTAAATATATATATATATATATATATATATATATATATATATATATATATATATATGCCGTATGGATCATAATGAAAATCATGGAGCATTTTCCATTCATATACTATTTTTTCTAATGAAATGTTACATAATCATTATTAGAAAAGGATTAATAGCAAAAGAAAATCATGTTTTAATTGCCATCTCGATTCAATATGTAAACGCATCTCTTGAATCATGCGCTGTTGTATAAATCGTTTATTTCACGTTTCGCCGCTGTTGTCGGTTATCAATGAACAAATCGTCTTGCAAATAGATGTATTATTGATTCCTATTAAAATAGTTCTTATATATATATATATATATATATATATATATATGCAACCATAACATGAATATTTGACCGTGATGCGTATGCCGATTATAATCTTCTGAGACTGTGTGTCATGATGGATATATTAGACTTCATTTATTTTTACCTTAACGTCTTCTTGTTAACGTGCATCTGTATTACCCAATAATAATAATACTAATAATAATAATAGAGAGAGATGTGGGTGTAGTGGTAATAGGGGGATTAAAAACTATTAAAAAGAATACATAAAATCAGAGAAGGAAAATCTCAAAAAATCCATCACTACCTGAAATACAAATTATTAAACTCATGAGCCCTGCTCATATACCCAGAAAACAACTATCTGAATTTGATATATTCCCTGGGCTCAGATAAATCGACAATATATAGCATTAACACGATCACGAATCTCTTTATGGTCGTAGCAGTCCAAATATCTCCATGCTGATTAGAATTCTGTTTTTTCTTTCTCCTGGACTACTCGCCAACCAAAGCTATAGGATCCAGTCTGCCCTGCTATTTATCTATAGCTCGGATGCAAAAGGTGTAGATTCGGACCTTTTCCAAGGATATTAACACGTAAGTAACTCGACTAGAATTCGAAATCGGCTATATCGGTTCATCAATCCGGGCCGCTATCCATTAATACTGAGTCTCCTCTCCAAAATGATTGTATGGAATTGTAAATTAGGGAGATTATCAATAATAATAGCAATACGAATATTAATAATAATAACAAAATGTGATTAATTTGAATAGACAAGAAAAAAGGGGAGGTGGATACCTTATCGTCATTGAAGAGTGTGTAAGGCGGTGAAAGCAGGCCGTCGGACTTGTACCCTATAAAAAGCGAACAGACGCTGGTGAAATCGAACAATCCACAAAGAGATAACATCGATAGCAAAAACAAATACAAGAAAAGGGTACTCAAAGAGAAGCTAAGAGCTAGAAACGCAATAATGCTTCATAGAGAATTTTAGGAGAGCACAGAAGCCATTACGTCAATGGATTTATAGCATTGATTGACGAAAGGCAACTTGAATTGCTTGAAAGAATGCTTCTAGGGTGCCGTCTGAGATCAAACTGAAAATTATAAAGGGTAATCCATTTTTTTTTATGAGCCGAGACTTTTCAGCACATGATCAGTTCATGTACTCTCCACGACTCATTGTATTATGTTGCTCTAATTATCTTTATCCTTTCCAATTTTCTTCACTGTTTTCATATCTGCTCATACAAACACCTTAAGTAGATTAATCGCAATGCCTCCTGCTTCACTTGCCTTCAGTATATCCTGTCAGTGTTGAATATTGTAGATCCTACTTCCTCACGTTTTTAAGCATTCACCCTAAGCAAAGCAATAACACACAGGTAGTTACTGAGTGTAAAATAATATAAGAAAACAGTATTAAGGAAGGAGAACAATAAATGAAATGGAATTAAGACGATAGAAGATACCAACTGACATTGCAGTTACTTTTCTGAAGATCAAAAAACAAAGACACCGGAAAAATGTTCCACAAGCAAGAAGAGCGATAAAAGAAGTAACTAGCATAGAACCTACGGTTGCATCTAGTCATATCAACAGTAAAATGATGAGACCTTTCCATCAACCTAATACTGCGCTTAAATACATAGAGTGTAGGTACAATATAAGAAAGATCATCAGAATAATTAACCATGAACTTCTTTAGAGAACAGGCATAGGGAAGCTACGTGATGGCGATAGAAATGTGACTTTCCTAGAAATTTCAGCTGTTGCTTCCTGATTGTAACTAGAAGTTTATTTTTTAAAAATTGTCCTTTATTATTACTCATATGATCTGTACATGATATCCGTAGCACTCGTTGGTTAATCCATATCTCCGTCGCTTCATTATTCCTTTTTAACTATGAAGAGAATGGCCAGATTTCAGTGACATAAAGGAAATTATATATTTCATAGCAGTTCTGTACTCCCTTCTTTGTTTTTTACCATATTTCCTAGTGTCTTAATATTTTGATTCGCTCCTGGAGAACAAGCGTATAGAATTTCAGATGCATTTTTGTTATTTTGCATAATAGCAAAAAAAAAAAAAAGAAAAAAAAGAATGATGGCAAATATGGCGCCGAAACAGAAGGCGTATTGAAATAGTAAAATATACCTTCTAAAACTAAATCAAAGTAGGAAGAAGTATGGAAATGTGGTTAGAAATAAAGTAAAGTATTTTGAACTGCAATGCAATATCTTTTATCCTTTTATGTCAATGGTTGCTGGATTATTTACTCACATTTTTTTAAAAGCATTACGCCCCGAACAAGGCGTGAAGCCACTAGGATGCAGGGGGTTGCAGAAGATTTGGAGCGAGAGCAGATAGGAGTGATAGAAGAAAGGATGAGGAGAAGGATAGTGGATAGATCATGGTAACTGGAGATGTCGATTGACATTACATTTGAATAGTTGGAGATTATAGCTCTCAGGGAAACAGTAATTGGGAAGGGTGTTCCACAGGCGAGAGGTGCGAGGTATGAAGCTATTGGAGTAGAAGAGACGGCTACATTTAAAAGTTTCTTCAGTGTAAAGGTGGGAGCGGGATGCCATCCTCGTAGGGCGCTTGAATTCATGGAGTCAGGGAAACAGTGAAAGCAGCTGATCGGAGCAATTACCATGAAAGTATTTGTAGAAAAGACAGAGAGAGGCGACGGCGCGTCTGTGAGAGAGAGTGACTGTAGACGAGACGCCAGATCAGGGCCAATTATATTACATATCCGTTTCTGGATCATGTTAAGAGCTCCGAGGTAAACAGAAGGTGCCCCAGATAATATATGGCAGCAATACTCCATGCAAGGGCGAATGGTTGATTTGTATATTTGAAGATATGACGAGAAAACTTCAGGCAAGGGAAATGAAAAATCCTGAGAATGCCTTAGACGCAACGTTTGAGCACCGAGTAAGTTTTAAAGAAAATGGAAAAGAAAAGAAGAAGTGCACTTAGAATAATAAAAAAAAGATAATTGCAATAATGGAGTCACGTAATGAGAAAAGAGAGCTTAGCGAATTTGACGCAAACAGAGTATATTCATAACAAAAAAAAAAAAAAAAAAAACAGAGGGAAAGTTCGAACAAGAATGGAATTGTAGATTCTCGAAATATACAAATTTTGTCGACGCTGCCCAAAACATCCACGAAATAAATTATGCTAAAATCAATGAAATTTTTATAAGATTGTGTGGAAAAAAATACCCTATTTTTTATAAATATATGAAGTGGATTAAATCGAATAGATTTAAATGTATAAAAATGATAAAGTAGTATTTCAGTGGTATTTTCACAAACAGACAGATCAAAAGAAGCATGAAAAAAGTGAAGTATTAATTATATAAGTATGAAGTTTGCTGTATTTTTATAGAATAGCATGTATTGATTTTCTGCCAAACTAGTATATATTGAAATTTATGCGAAACTAATATGTAGTGAAATTTTCGCGAAGTTGAATAATTAAATGTATTGAAAATTTCCTTCCGGCGACTATTTCTTTGTAAACAAGCCTTCGTCATCAAAAACAAAATCTCGACTTCGGAGAGAAAATCTCGTCAGTGGAAAGAAAATCTCGTCAGTGGAAAGAAAATCTCGTCAGTGGAAAGAAAATACATTAAACAGTTGATGTCGGTTTTCGAGAATAACAGAAAGTGAACAAAAGAAAAAATATCTAATCCTTGCAAGTAACAGGAAAAAAATTGTAAATCATTGTGCGGATATAGTATTCTTCTTCTTCTTCTTCTTCTTCTTCTTCTTCTTCTTATTATTATTATTATTATTATTATTATTATTATTTCTGGGACAGTTAGAAAAGTATCGAAAAAGTTGCAGAGAGATGAAATGGAAATAATCAATCTTTCGAAATGGAGCCAACTTAGTTCATGTCGAGTAATAGAGACTCCACAGATGATATCTGACTTAGGGTGTTTACATATATCTATATTCGACTCCCAAGTCTGTTTGACACCCATATTCTTCAAACTTAAAAAATAAACTCATGGCTGTGATACTCTTCTGTTCGCCAACAGTCATACGGCTCGAAACATGTCATACCCAACTGCATAATGTTAGGCAACTGACAAACAAATCCGTGTCAGTGACTGGAATATTTTTTGTAGCCCAAATTAATATTCTTTCTTTGGGCTTCTGCTGTATACACATTTCTTTACTGGTCCCAACAAGAGATCTAAAGTCAGAAATGGCTTTCATTTTTTGTAAAACAAAAATCAAAACAAAAAAAAAATTAAGATAACACATTTTTTATTGTAATTTACCAACTCACGCATGGGCTCTCCCGGCTATAAATAGGATCAGGTACTGCCTTTTGGAAAGAGAAATTTCCAGCAGTCAGTTCTGACATTTGGACCAAACATTCTTTCTGTAACACTCTTGTTTGTATATGTTTGTATTACTGTTTCTGATAATATATTTGTTTTGCGAAAGTCCTCTTTTTGTGTCTTTATTTCTGGCCCTAATAAGGCCACAACAACATTTTTCATCTTCTTCATGTGTGAGGTGTATGTGTCAGCTGTAATTGTGAGTATAATTTTTTGTATTTCAACAGGGTCAAAGGCAAGGTGAAGCGCATTTGTGGACGATTGACGTCCAGAACATTTAGTCATTTTCTTGGAGAAAATGATTCGAAGTGCGTATCACAGATAACTTCACCCGTCAACGCTATCGATTGCCTCCTTTTCCCGACGAGCACGAAGAGTAGTTGACAACAGAGGAACGTCAGTTACTTCACGGGCAACAAAACATGGAAGAGGTAAAAGAACTACTCAAGGAGTAACGTGTGTCGGAGGTTTCCCCTACAAGTTTAGATCAAATATATTCTGGCGATGTGGAAAAAAATGCGCGACTTTGTGGAAAAAATACCACCCTCAAAAATTAAGCGCAATTCGTGCAGCTGCGTTGTTCAACGAAAATGGTGTTAACCATTTTCGTGTATTTTGAAATAAAGAACAAAACAGATTTCTATTAATACCTTTCAAAACAAACAACCTGCATGTAACGAAAGCGAATCAAATGCGAAAAATGTCCTTAAGTTCTGACTGAAAAGACAGAAACTTTTTTTATGAAAGGTTTGTAGTTTAATAATAATATGTCTCTTTCTTTCATTCTATCGTATCATGTTCTTATTACAAGTACTATTTGTAATTTAATTTCTTCCTGTCTGTTTTTCTATTTTTTTAAATACTAAAATAGATATTTTGGTCGCTTTATAGAACGGGAACAGATTAATTAATCTTCCATTAATTTCAGAGTGAAAAAATGCTTTGGAATAAGTGTAAATTGCAATACGAGCTTGGTCGGGGAACTAATTCAATTACTACTACTACGAGGTCCTACTCTCTCTCTCTCTCACTCTCTCTCTCTCACTCACTCTCTCTCTATATATATATATATATATATATATATATATATATATATATATACAGAAAATTATTATTTAATTGTAAATATCGATTTTTGATGTGTCATACTCGGCTTCGAAGTTTCTTGGAATTATCCAGTGTTCAAGTGGTCTGTTGTTTGAATAAGTTTATTTCAAATTTTTTTGCCTCTTTACACACAGAAACTCACACACATACACACACACACATATATATATATATATATATATATATATATATATGTATGTATATATATATGTATGCATACACATACATACATATATATATATATATATATATATATATATATATATATATATATATATAATAGACAATAACATCTAAAATCATCTCAGTTAAATTTCTAATCCTGTCACGAACCCAGCATATACTGGGGTTGAATAAGACTGGCGAATCTCCTCAGTTGATATAAGCCTATTCCCCGTACGAGGTAATTTGGGATTTTATCGAGTCATAATTATTTGCTCTGTAATAAATACATTGAGCTATTTTGTGGATCAAAATATTTTGTGGATCAATCTTAATATTTTATATATTACTAGGATCCACTTGGACAAATTTACATTTTTTCACATATATATTTATTATTTTCCCATATATATATATATATATATATATATATATATATATATATATATATATATATATATGTGTTTTGTGTGTGTGTGTGTGTGTGTGTGTGTGTTATTAAACCTTTTTTCAAGAAATATCCAAAATATTCAGTTAATTGTTTCTAAAAACACAAGTCATTCATTCTAATTATTCTTTATGCTTTTATTTTTATTATTTTATTTCCTTTGATTTCTGGTGTGTACACATTTCTTTCTGGGTCCCGTTCAGAGACAGGTTAAAAATGGCATCATAACATTTTCCAATGATAAAAAAAGGTGAGGGCTCTACTCGAGAACAATTTTTTGTATTTTTTTAAGGCATGGGTTCCAAAAATTCCTTTCAGTTAGTTTACTGCAATGTTTTCCAACCAATTCTAGGGCTACAAATACAACAGGGATTGTTGATGTTCCCATTGTGCCACATTATTGAGATATCGATTTCATTGTCCTTCTATTTTGATAGGTTTTTGAAGATCTTCAAAGATACATTGCAGTCCGCAAGGACTACCATATTAATAAGGAGACACTTTTCTTTTGTTTGTGGTCTCTAATAACAATGTTATTTTCATACATTTATATATGCACACCGGTTAGATGATGATTATCACTTTGAATTGTGGGAGACCCCATTGGTTTAAATATTCCGTAAATTTTTCAACAGTGGCCTAAGGTTATGATCAGGCCATCTTGAGTTAGTTTTCTGATTTTTTTCAGTCTTGGTCATCATTCCTCCATGTCTTTGACAGTCATTGAGCAACAACTATTAGCAACAACAACAGCATGATTGTAATTGTGATATTCTTATTCCCATTTATTAGTTATTGTATATTTCTCAATAAATCGTTTTATTTCTTCTTATCTATTGTCAGACAAATGCAGATTATTTTGCATGTTCTCTTTTACTAAATCTTCGTGATGATTTTAGTAATACCACCGTGTGGATTGTTTGTGTTATTTCTCGGCTTTCCAGTTCCTGCAATATCTTTTGCAGATAAATCATATTATTCTTTCTTTCTATTATTATTTACATATATTTGTTTTGTTTTTATCGTAATTTTCTTGATTATTTTGGTTCTTACCTTTTTTAGTCTTTGTTATTGCCTTTGGAGCAATCTAATCAAGACAAGAAAAGACATCTTTTTTCCCATTTGTCCGATATAAGAGCTACAAACGATAAGCGACAAAAGATATCAAGATTCAATTCTCCTGATCTTCAATCTCGCCCCAGAAACTGTGGCACACAACTTACCCACGGGCATTATTCTATGTATTTATTCTTGATAGGAAGCCGATGGTTTCGCTTTATTGACCGAAATATTCTGGCTAGCAGCTACACGGGAAATAAACTTAACATCTTATTTCTGCATAACTAAGATTTTTTTCTTGTTTATATTTTCTAATTTTTCTTACTCCATTTTTATTTTCCTCTAACACTTTCTCCTGGAGATATTCATAACTTTGTTTGATCATCTTAATCAGTGCATCATTACAATCAACAATGACGATGACTACTTTTGTACATAATGCCGCTGTAGAATTTATTGTCAACTCAGCGCCTTGTTTCCCTCACGCCCCGCAGTGCTGTTGTTGTTACATATCAACTATTAATTCCGTCATCCTTATATTTGTTATTACTACGACAATAGTTCCAATATATAA